TCTCAGAGTAGCAAGGATTGCAACAGCACAGCTAATTCTCTCTTTTGTCTCTGCTTGTGTTAAGCCCACGAAACAATAGCAGAAATTGTCACTAATACATAAACCTGTGTTTTGCTTCAGAAGTTCCTCTTGTGTATGTCACATCAAAATCATACTGACAGAAGAGGCAGCCTCACTCTTGTCTGTCTAATGCTGCTGTTCAACTCATGTTGCATACGGGACAACGGCTGCAGCAAAGGAGGATGAAGGCAGAACACGAGAGGATGAAGCCTGTGAGTAACACTGCTGGAGACACTGGCTGGGAGATATGAAAACAGTATTAAAACAGCATAATAACATGGCCACTTGCATTACTGTGTTCAGACTCTTACAGAAGTTGCTGGTTCCTCTGGTGTCTCAGTTTCCAGCAATATGCTGGTCTGAACTGCTTACTAGAAGTACAGTCTTTCCATAGACCAAGTCTGTATCTCGCCTGGAGGATTGCTCCTTCTATATGCTTCACAAATAACAACAAAAAAGGACACAGTTTCCAGTTAATCTGTGTTATTTGGAAAGATAAAATCAAGGTGGAATTCAGTTTGTCAACAGAGGAGTGAATGCTGATAGCAGACGGATGGGAACAGGCAAAACTAGTTATAGTATTGCACGACAAATCATTTCTCTCACTCATGATGCCTGGATGCAGATGGACATTCTTGAGATGGCATTAGGTGACGCTGTTTTCTTTTGGAGTATGAACAGAAAGTGTCTACAGAAAGAGTAGAGAAATAAATGGCATTGCCATCCCAAAAGCCATGGTGGTTGTGGTACCATTTGCTGTTCTGCACCATGGTATTGGTCAGACTGGAGGCCTTCAGAGCTGAGAGACACAGACTGCCTCTCTCTCCAGGGGAAGGAGGGTGTACTTATATTTCTTAATTCAGGCCAAAATATCAGTCTCGTGGAAACAAATTCCTTGTCATGTTTAATCTCTGCACACATTTTCAATAAAGCAGATGGAGAGGGTGCTGAATAATGAAATCCTTGAGCCTGCTCCAACTGAAGGCAGATGTAAAGTCATTATCAACCTCCACAGCACTGAGAGTATACTTCAAGTAACAGCAGCATTTGAGTCTCAGGTCTATCAGTCTTCAATGCAACCGAGGTGATGCTCAGTTTGCTGAAACACTGCTCCTGTATGTGACAGTTTACGATCTCTTGGTCATCTAAAGACAGTGACATAACTGAGGAGCATAAACAAGAGAGAGTATCTAGCTCAGTAGCCTGTTACTAATAATGCTAGTAGCAGGTGCCCATGGGAAAACATGGGAGAAGGGTGAGCATTAGAGGTACTTCCCCAGAAATACTCTCAGCCTCCAGGGTTTTGTGGCTCATGGAGCCCTTAGCTATGCACAGGATGAGAAAGCACCTCTTCTTCTTTGCTCTGAATTTGCCACCTTCTCACTTCAGCTGATGCCTTTAGTTCTTGTGTTCAAAGTGGCAGTAAAAATCATTCCCTCTTCACCTTCTCATACCACTCATGAGGAACGTAGTGCAGCAGGAGACGGTGACTCTGGTAACGGCTACAGTCCTGGGCACAGTTGGACTACAGTGGACAGCACTTAGTTCCTCCGAAATTTATTTCCCAAGAACTCCCACTGATTTGCAGCAAAAACTTATCATATCCATGGAGAAGCTCACTGGACCCTCCACTCTGGGAGCTGTCTGCTGACCATTGCTGACTCTTGGTTCTCCCCCTTCCCAGCAATCATTGTGGCACCAGCTGATCACAGTTTTACCATGTTCCTTTGACCACATGGATTTAATGTCCATAATCTCACACACAAGTCAGAACTATTTTTCCCCAAACAATATGTTTTTATTGTTTCATCCTAAGGAGAACCTCTGTTAGCTCTCCTCTTATTATCACCCGCACATGTGAACATGGATGATTGGTTGAGTGGTGCCTACTCTTAATCAACATGTACAGCCTAGCCCATCTGACAACTGGGAACAATTTATCTGAGCTAGTCAATTAAATCTCATCTCTGTGCATGTTGGGAAGGCCTGTCTAACACTCGGAAAAGAAAAGCAAGTACTGAAAATCCTGGCTTTTCCACAAAAGTGCTCTCCTTCCTTTTGAAAACAATACTGGAAAAATGAGGATTTTGTTCCTGAAACTTTTGCAAACTTTCCCCATTTAAGCCACAGCTCTGCCTGCCAGACTTCACCCTCAGATACGTTCCTACCTGAAGCTGTGTTGTATCAGCCATTCTCCCTGACATCCTCCGTTTTCGTAGGCAGTTTAGACCTCACAAAACATCCCAGCTGCCACATCAGAGGAATCTCTTTTGCAACTGCAGAAGTCATAAGGGCCTTGGTGGATTAAGTAACCCATGACTCACCTCCACAGTTTCCCAGAAGATGCTGGAGACAGAGGCGTGACGTTGAGCTTGAACTGAGATTTCTCAACATAGCAAAGAGCTGAAGAGCTGTTATGTTATTTGGGTGAGCAAACATGAGTCATTTTTAAACTTAGATGATGCTTTTTTCCCTTTAAATCAAATTATCTGCTAAAACAAATATTCATGGTGAAATCAACTCTGGGTCAGTTTTCCTGAAACCATTACAATTAAAGTGAGTCATCATCAGGTTGCTGCAAAATTTCAGCTCCAGAACCTGAAATGTTACCCTTCCCTGCCCAAAACTCTGATGAGAAATCATGAGCGTCATTAAGTGAGTTACATAATTTTTTCAGAGTTAGCAGAGATAAACACAGTAGTATAAACTGCAACATAGGTTAAGAAGGACAGCAGTGTGATCTTCAGGATTTTTGCACATGTATTCAATGCATGCAGCAAGAGGTATCCTGAGGTATACAGTGGAAATCCTCTGAGAGGAAGAAAGCACCAAGGAGCAAGAAATTAAAAAAGAGAAAAAGAGGGAGGGGGATTAATCAGCATCAGCGATGCTTTCAATCACTATAGTCCCTACAGAAATTAAATTGCTTGACTCGTATGAAGTTACGCATTATCAATGCAAGCCATTGCTTTTGTTCCTCACTTTTCTGGGCAGGCTGAAGTAATGTGTTTGGGTGTTCATCTACAGAGTAAAGGGGTTAATTCACTCCAGCCCTCTGTCTCTCTCCGTAAATACAGCTCCTAAATTTGATGGATTGTTTTTTATTACAACACCTACTGTAGCTCTTCTGGAAAAGATACTCTTTGCACCAATACACTGCAGTTTTCCCAATTAATGTTTAAGCCTCCTTCAGTTAACATAACGGTCGCAGAATTTTAAACCTTATGAGGAGGGCATTAAGCTATTATTGGCCACAGCATAAATGCAAAGTATAAGACATGCAGATCTGAAATATAGAGATAACGTGACAAACACTCTCATAGCAGACCTTCCCAAGAATCAGCTGTTCCTTGGAACTGAGAGCCTGCCAACTCCAAAATGAGCTTTAGTTGCTTCCTCTGATATTGCGGAGGAATATTTAATCGTGACTTCTGATATTAGAGGGAATTAGGAATTGAAAGCATAACATACATACGTACATGTGTGTGTATATCTGCAATGTACGTTTTTCTAAGGATTGAAAGAATGACACACAGACATATATGTATGTCATTCAGTCCTTAAAATATATGTGTGCATATATATATAAAGCTTTATGTATGTATAAAAACCGCATATATATACATATACATAATATGTGTCTGTATATATGTGTGTGTGTCCATAAATACATATTTTAAACGGCCACAAAGGGTATCTGAGAAAGACACATCTCTGTTTTTCACTACTACCTGTAACTTCACCTGGGCTCATTACTCCTTTCACTGGAAGTAATGAATAAAGTAATAATTCTCCCTAAAAACCATACTGTGTATGTCACTGCTTGAGTACCAATCTGGTACGTTAATGGAGCACTAGGAAGGCCATTATAGGTATTTCGATCTCGGTATATGACCTAAGCTTTCCTGTCTACTTCAGACTAAGGAAAAAAACCAGCAGTTTCAGAAGATTTATGTTTATTTTTGTTCTGTAATTCAAACAAAACTGGAGTTGGGGTGAGGCTGTGAGCAGCTGGAGTTCTTCATGAAGTGGCTGTGAAAGCGGCTCTCTGTGCTTAGCACAAGTTGTAACTTGGCCTTGCGCTCCTGAATAGACCAGAAATAGTTTGTCCATAGGGATTAACTGACCTCTGTGCTCCCTTTCTAACTCTGTATATTTTATCTGATGGGCTTCAAGGGATTTCCTCTGATTATTGCAGATGCCTCTAGATATATATTCAGAAGGATCCTGAACGCCTGTGAAATCTCTCCCTGTGAAGTCAGCCCACAGAGCAGCCTCATGGAGGAGATGTTAATCGTGGGAGGTTTTATACCAGCTCCTCAAGCATCCATAACTCCTGTTTCAGCAAACACTTTCTATATTGCTCTGGGAGTGGGATGCAAACATGGAAGACTACTTTAGAATGCAAATACCTAATATCTACAGCTCTATATGATAGCCAAAAATGTAATCTCAAATACCTTTCCTAATTCTGACTGTATATAAAGTTATATATATGTACACACACACACACACACACACACTATACACATATAGTGTCTATATATAGTGTATATATATAAAGTAAAGTAAAGTAATAGTGTCTCACTCACATGGCCATTTTCCATAAACTAACCATGGATAAACTCTCAATCATGCCCAGACTCTGGTGAGCTACCACGAATGTCGGTACGGTTAAATATTTGTGCCGCCAAAGTCTCTGGCCCTTTTCTAGTGGATTTCCTTTCTAAAAAAAAAAAAAAAAATTACTGTGCCGTTCAAGATGCGAAGGAGGTATTTGACTTAACAACAGGGATGCATAATGAATTTTAATGAACTGATAACAGAGGTAATACAATATAGATGAATAATGAAGGAGAGGGAAGAGGGTCTGGGTGCATGTTGATGTTTTGATCGCACAGGTAATTTTGGCTAGAATAAAGACTCGGACTGGTTTAGCTGCAGTGAGGTGATAGGTTTGTAACCTATCCTTTGTAACCTGACTTTTTTTTAAAATAAAGAATATCATAGAAATGAGAGGAATCAATACAAAGATGCCTTTGTGTGTGTGTGTTTTATGTTAAGACCCAGTTGATCACTTCTTGTCATTTGAAAGAAATGTTCAGCCTCAGCACTTGAAATTATCCAGCTGCAGCATTTTCTACTCAGCCCAATCTCCAGCTAATTTGATCCTTCATTTAGCTTGAACAAAGCCTCCTAATAAAAACATTTGTATTACAAATGATACACTTGATCAATGGGATAGCTTTAGGCAAGTATTTGATAATTTGAAGACTAGCTATAAAAGGTTCTCATTTAATCAATGTAACAGGCCAAAATTTGGAGTGAAAGCAAGCTCCAGATCAGTATATCACCAAACAAGCAGACTATAATTAAATATCAGGTTATTTGGAAGTTCTTACCAACACAATTGTTAGAATTGGCTAACAAAGTCCATGTGATATGAGCCCTAATTATTTTTTGGGTAACACGATTAATAGCTTAGTTCAGTCAAAGTGACAGGAATGGATTGAATCAAAATAAGAAGCCGACTGTGCATTGAACTATTAATCTTCTTTCAATCCCGTAATTCCTTTGGCCGGATCAATGAGAAAGACGTACAGACGAGAAAACCCAGAAAATTCTCATACACACACACGCACATGTGTGCGCACCCACACCCACACCCACACACGCCTGCACTACAGATACCAGCTTGACAAATCTGTCTTTTGATTCTGGGTGGGATATTTACTGCTATTTTGTCACAAGACGTACCAGAAAACTTTGGATTTGAGCCCTCTTTTCTGCATGTTGGGCAGTAACACATCAGAGTGTCACCGGTGTCCACATCTCACGCGGCTCAGTAGATAATATTATAGCTTTTGCTGAGGTTGGCCAGAGAGGGGAAAGGAAACAACTCTCGGTAGATATAGAGTCCTGCTGCATTTCTGAGAGAGCGTTTCAAACACTCGAGCACTCCAAGGTCGCAGGCTGCTTCGCTACGGCTGGTATGATCTCACGCGCAGTCCTGAATCTGAACTAGGACACATCATCCCTCGACAGCCAAAGTGGATTTCAGCTTTATTCCCTCTGCAGTTACCCCTCGCTCCGGGAAGCTTTGGGAAGCAATCACATTGGCTGGAATTTTATGCTGTGCTTGTTTTCATTAATGTTGAGATCAATCAGTTGCTTTCCAAGGGTCTCTTGACACTGCTAAAGGCTGCTCTAGGAAAGCAAAGACAAATTCCAGGTTACTGGTCCCATTGTTTGCTATTATTATTTTTAAAAAGTGAAATTGTTTCTCTCTTTGCTCACATTTGTGCCCGAACATACTAAAAAACCTCTCAGGAGCTCCAGCATCCACTTGCACCATGGTCAATAAGCACCAGCTCTGGCCCTCTGATGTGGCTACTGACAGCTATATTATGAAAAAAAATTCAAATAAATTTTAAACAACATTCACAAGGCACATCTGGCCATTTTGTTTTGTTTCTTCATCCCTTTTAAATCAGCATGTGGGGACATTTTTTTTAAGGGCACACAAGGAAGTAGCATGATGAGGATCCCCTTTTGTCACCCTGAGTTGCGCAACCCAACATCCTCAAATCTATTTCAATCCATCACTTATTTCCCTCTAGAAACTTTTCCACTGTTTTGTTCTTTGACTGTTATTTATTTATTTGCTTAGCTGACTTCAAGGGACATTCCTCCTGGCGCGATAAAGACATTTTGCAAGCAAATGCATGGAAACATTTGTGATAACGCTGCAGAAACAGCCAGCGCGCTCAGTCCCCATGGGCAGGTAACGCTTTGTGTCACTCAGCTGCCACCGCTCAGCTTGATTACGGAGCAGTGATTTTCACAGCTGGCCTGGCTGCTGCAACAACAGGCCCCAAGCAGTGGCTAGGACCAAAGTGGGAGGAATTAAAGGGTTGCACAAGGTTCCACGGGGCTCTAAAAACTCCCCTGAGGGCAATGAAAACGAATTAGAAAGGACTTTTTATTGACAAGGATGTGTTGCTTGTGCTTCGATACACACATAAAAGAGCATAATTGTGAGTGCTGGAAGGAACGGGCTCTATGGCTGAAACTATCATTTATACCCTGTGGAGAGCTAAAAAATCCATCAGGTAAGAACCTGGCTACAGTCTCTACCTCTCCTTGTGTTTTACAGGCCATCCCAAGCCCCAGATAGGGCTTAATAAATAGGCAGAAAGGAGTCATAAAGCAGCAATAGATAAAGAATAGTTTTTGCCTCATTTCAAAGAGCTC